CAAAAGCATTTTTCCTTTTTTCATCTCCTACATCATATTTTCTACTCCTGTATTGTGGCTTCTATGTGTAGAATAGTCTCCTGTACATCTTTCTTGTCATTCCAAAGAATATGGTCTTAAGCACTTTGTATTTTATACAACTTCTAACAGAGTGTCTTAAATGTTTATTAAACTTAAGTAAACAACTACATATTATTAAGGGTGCAACATGGTTATACATGGGTAACATTCTACCTCATTATAGAGACTATAAAGTATATAGTATATTGTAAACTCTCAAATGCTTATGGAAGATCAAAAAGAATGAATAAACCTTGACCCATTGCTGGGGCAAAATACCCAACGCCCAAAATGAAAAAAGGTTTATTTAGCTTACAGCGTTTTTTTTTTTTTTTTTTTTTTTGAGGTTTCAGTCCATATGCAACTTGCTCCAAGGCAGAGTGAGGTGGCTAAGGGGCAACTATCATGGTGGCCACAAGTGACAAGGGCACACAGGGTAAAAAGGGAAAAGCATGCCTCCTTCCCTCCCTTATATTGTATGCCAGCTCCCCACTCCTGGGTGGGTGCAGCTCATACCATCAATCCCAGTACTAGACAATGAACCAACCACAAATGCTAGACTCAGTAGCCTTTGAAAGGCCTGCCCTACCCCATGATTGCATGAGGATTTCACGGGGGCATCCAAACTCAAACCATAACAAATATGTACTTACCAGTTTCCAATTCAGTTGCTAGATTTGTGTTTTTGTACTAACCAGTGAGCATAATTATTGTATGCAATATGTAATTCCTGATATTTATAAGTCATTATCCCTAGTCTATGTACACAGAACAACAAACAAAAAGACAGTGTGCTCTTTGTTAAACCTCAGCACAGAAAGGAATTAGCAACTTTGGCCATCCCCAAGATGGGGTGTCATCTGTACACATTGGAGAGCAGCAATTGAGAGAGGTTGGTAGGGTCTACTGATCCAAGGAAAAAAGATGTATGTTATCCCTACTGAATTATTAATGGTAAGAGAAGAAAATGTCCACAGAAGAAAGTCCTCCAAAAATTCAAACATGGCTTAAAACATGACCATTTAAAGTGATTTAACTGCAATCTATTTGAATATGTTCAAATAATACTTATTCTCAGAAATTCAAGTATATTTTGATAGCAGGAAATCAATCTGATTTCATGTATTCATGTAACAAGAAATACATTAATATATCACTAAATTTCAACAGGTACCTGGTAAATCTGATAGCATTTCTAAAAAGCCTGTAAGTAAAATGAGAATTGAAAAATAATCTGCCTCCTAAGTTTTATTGGTCTTGTTCTCTACTGTTCTGTCCAACTTTATAATATCTAATGAGATAGACAAATCTTTTTAAGGAAACAAGAGACAACGTCGATAACCATTGTTGATAACCTTGTACTCTGTTCTACATCATGTGCTATGTCTATCCTTGGTTTTGACTGACAGCTTTGTTTTGCCATATTTGACTTTATTCTCTCCCCCTCCCAAAAAGTAATAAGAACTAAGGAGTAATAAAATCCAAAATGTGTAAATTTTGTTGTAAAAAAGAGAGGAAGGGAAAAAAAAAGAGCTCTAACGGATATAACAGCAAGTGTGTATAGGGTTGTTAAATAGCTGATTATATTAATGTTTTTGGATCATTGAACACAGCTGTTTGCAGTCTCTCTGTTTGAATGTCTACTTTGTATTCTTTGATACTGTGATTTGAGCAACTATTTCCAAGATGATAATATGTAATCTATTAACAGGTGATTTCTTACTGTTATGGGTTTTTTTTGTAGTTCTGTATTATGTGTAACCTTACACTGCTTTGTTTTGTTTTGTGTTTTTCTCTTTTTCCTCTTAAATAAAAAAAAAGAAAAAGAATCTGCCTAAATATAATAAAGATTTTTACCAATGTTCAAAAGCAGTGACAAAAATGGATGCTAAAATACTAAACCCATTTCCACTAAAATTATGAATTATCACTATTTAATATTATTTTCAAGATGATAGCTATGAAATAAAAATATGAAATGAAATAAAGGGCATCAATATTAGAAAAATACAAAAATATTTTAGCGGTAGGTTATATAACTGCATATATAAAAATAGAGAACATAATAGTTTTAGAAAATAAAAAACTGTAATCAACAGCATAAAGTGCTGAGCAGGTTGCAAGCTTAAGCATATTAACATGATTTATAATCATGTTAATAATTTTTATTTGAATAATAATTTTCATTAATAATAATTTATTAATAACAATTAATAGGGACTGGAGATTTAGCTCAGTGGCATAAGCGCCTGCCTTGCAAGCAGGCACTCGTGAGTTCGATCCCCGGTACCGATAAAAGGGAAAAAGACAAAAAAAAAAAAGATTAATAATTTTATGTATGTAAGCACTAAACAAACTAGAAAAGAAAAAGAGCACAGCAATGCCAGAAGTCAAAGCTGTTCAAAGCTCTCTAGGATCTATAACCTGAATTTTCAATGAACAGTCTATGAGGGGAAAATGCAGAGTTCAGAAATGCAGATAAAAAATATAAAATTCCTTATCAAATTGCACAGTAATTTGGTTCCTAATGAGAACAAACCTAAGGCAACCCAGGGAGAATGAGAACAGGGGGAATTAAGAAATTACTTTTGGAGTTTCACTCCTATACTCTGTTTAGTATATTAGAATCTATAAGAAAATGTCTTTAATCCTAGCAATGAAAAAAGGTCAAAAATCTACAAAATGTTCCTGAACTTATCAGTAATCTGGTTTTTTGTTTTTGTGTTTGTGTTTTGTGTTTTGTGTTTGTGTTTGGTCTTTCTGTCTTTTTGATACAGTGTCTCACTATGCAGTTCAGGTTTGGGCTCACTGTGTAGCCCAGGCTGATCTCGAACTTACAGTGATCCTCCTGCCTCAGCCTCCTGCGTGGTAGGATTACAGCTGTGATACTACTGCAAGAATTATAGAAAGTGACAAGGCCACTTCACAGACGGGGCACAAAGCCTTTGCAAGCACAGGAGAAAGAGGATGCTACCACATAAGTGGATAATGAGTTATGTCAGACTTTAAAAAATATTTACAGATCAACTATATTTTATTATGTTGGCTTAAAATCATTTGAAGTCTCAGATGAAAGAGAAATGCTTCTGAGGTTTTTCATGGCCTCCACTGGGTGCTCTGGAGGACTGGAAACTGGGAGGGAGCCTTGGAGAGAGGGGATCAGCTGCTTTTAGAATTTCAATCCTATCCACCTCCCCCGGAGCTCTCTCTCATCTGGAAGCCCAGGTACTAGCTTCAGAAAACTCCTAGGGAGAAAGAGGGAACCTTCTTGGGCTCAGAATCCTATACCCATGGAAGCAGAAGTCATTTTAAGTCACAGGCAGGAAGTACCTGCTGAAAGTTGTGGAAGAAAAGGGACACATAACAAGCCATCCCAACGTTAGGGTACAGTAAAATATTCCACTGCTGAAGGAATTTTAAGCCTGTAGGATGCTACAGTTCATAACAGAGACAATAAAAGCCAAATCTAGTTCAGTGGCTCACTAGATAGTCTTAATCTGCCACAAGAAAAGATACTTGCCCACTCCTGAGCAAAAATACTATTTATCTGCATAGCTGCTTATCCACAGTCAACATTCAGTAAAAAATTGAGAGCCAAAAATAGCAAGCAAAAGCTAATCACTGTCAAAAGATCAAGCAATCATCAGAATTATGGTTAGAGATGAACTATATATTGGAATTATCAGACAGGGAACTTAAAATAGTCCTGTTTAATATATCAAATGATCTCATGAAAAAGGGAAGTAACTTACATAAGTGGATATGTATTTTCACTGAAAAAATTGGATGGAAAAGAAGAGGAGCTGAAGGGAGGGTAGGGGAATGGAAAAAAAAGAATTAAGGAATACCATGTCCCGGTACAAATTTCCCATGATGAATGTGATCACTATGTATATCTAAAATGTACCAAAAACTTAACAAAAATATATTTAGTGTACCATAAACTAAATTCATTTTTGAAAAAATAAAAATGTGAAGAAAAATACTAAAAATAAGACATAAAATATAAAGAGTTTCTTTAATAGGCTTGAACAGATTGGGCATAGATAAGGGAAGAATCAGTTAAATTAATATTATGCCAATATAGATTATATAAACTAAAATACAAAAAGAATACAACAAATCAGATGGGCACACGTAAGAACTCTGAGGATCTATGGACATAAATTATCTGACATTGCGTAATGGAAATCTCAGAAGGAAAAAGGCAGAATGGGTGGAGAAGTATTTGAACACATAATGACTGAGCATTTTCTAAGATTAATAAATGATAGGTTCAAGACCCCAAGACAGCCATACAGAGGTTAAATATACAAACACACACCCATAAACATACTGTAATTGCATTGTTGAAAATCAAAGATAAGAAAATGCTGAAGGCAGCCGGGGCCTGTTGGGAAGGCACTTTATATACACAAAGATAAAAACTTTTCAGACTTCTTGCAAACTGTGCAATCCAGAAGACAATGGAGCAACATCTTTAAAGAAAGAAATTGTTTCTAACATTCTTAAGTGTGCTAATGATGTGGTTCCTCCATGATTTTTTCCAAAGATCCCTTACATTTACAGATTCACACTGAAGCATCCAGGCATAACATCATAAACTAAGAGGTTGCTTCACAATAACCAGAGAGGAGGTCTCCTCTTGTGGATAGGGGTAGAGATAAAGCAGGACTGAACATGTGCTGATGACAGCTAAAATTAGGTGACAGCCCACGGAGGCCCAATGTGATATTCTTCTAGTTCTGGTGCAGTTTTTCGAATTTTCATAACAGAACTATTTTCAAAAACAGAGAAATAGAGACGAGTGTACCAGCACACATTCTATTAAGTATCTCCGACCTTTGCCTCCAGTTAACTCTTCCTGCAGCCTTTGATCCTCAGAGTGAGGTCACAGAGCTGCCACCACCTCCCCAGTAATGCAGTCCTGCAGAGCCTACCAGTGCCGAAGCTCTCTTCTCCACACAGAGAGCACCGTCCCGAGTCCATCAGGTTCGAGAAGAATCTCCATCCAGCTGGCGTCTCATAGACAGGGACCTTCATTGATTTGGCCACTCTGAAAAGTGAAATTGAAGGCAACAGTCAATTAATATACCTTGTTTTCTTTGTTCTCTCAGCACAGTAGGTGGTCTTCAAGACCCATTAATTTTCTACCTCAATTTCAGAACAATTTGGACAGTGTTGGCAGTGTTCAGCGTGTCAAGCTATAAGCTGGGGAACGATAAACAGTTTTCATGAAATGATTCTCCATGATATCGGAAATGCTAATATCAGAAATATTCATCTGTAAATTTTTAATTTTCGTGAGCACATCAGAACCTAAATTAAGATTGATATTGAGTAAAAAGCATTTGTACTACCATTTGACAGTATCTACTAAAAATGGACATAGCCATATCATATGATGCAACAATTTGACTCTTAGAAAGTAAGTGGGGTACACTGCTTGAGTTCACCTCTAACATGTGCATACATGTATGTACACACATGCATACACACGTGTGTGCACGCACACTTTAGACATTTTAGGGCTGGAACACTCATTCTACCAGCATTTAGGAATGTTGACGGCTGACAGCTTTATAATCATGCTCCCATTTCTAGGTCAATCCACACCCAATGACTGGTTGATGAGAGATTTCAAGTCTCACCTCCACCCCAATTTGACCCAATCTGGAGGGTCACTTTGGTCCAGTGGTCCCACAGGTGTCTGAGGCCTTGTGACTACAGCATAGTCTAACTTTTCTCGGGGCCTGATCACCTTTTCTCACTCTCTTGTAGGTTTTTGCTATAATTTAGCTATATAACTTTGCTATAATTATAACTGCCCAAAGATCCTCGGTTTGGCACTATTAGAAGGTAGTGAAAATCTTTATCAGGTAGAACCAAATGGGAGGTCTCAGGTAATTGGGGACATGCCCCTAAAGGGGACCATAGAATGCCAGTCACTTCTTTTTTACTTCGTAGCCACCATGAGGTAAGCACCCTTCTCCACCATGCTTCCAACATGAAATGTTGTTTCACCATAGACCAAAAGCAACAGGCCAACTGACCACGGACTGAAACCCCTTACACCAAAATAAAACTTTCCTCCTTTTAAGTGTATTGTCTCAGGTATTTTGTTATAACAATAGTGCTGCGGGGTATATTTAGATGTCCCCCGAGAGCCTCATGTACTCAGAGGCACAGTTTTTGAGTGGTGACTGGCTGTGAAGAAGTGGGGTGCTCCTGGAGGTGGGTCACTGAGGGCTGCCCTGGAGGAGTGCATCTCCCTCCCAGCTCCTCCTTTCTCTGTGTCCTGACCACCGTGGTGTGAAGTGCCTCCACCCAGGGCCTTCCACCATGCAGCTTTTATGTCTGAGTCTGCAAAACAGGAACTGAAACTTCTGAAACCTGAGCCAAAACAAACCTCTCTCCATTTAACTTGTGGGTGTTGAGTATTTGCCCCAGTGATGAGAAAAGTGACTCAGACAAATAGAAAACTGACCCACACAGTGTTGATCTTGAAGGTAACTTTGATTTTGCAGGTACAAAGGAATAAATTTCCAGGTTTTTTCAGAGCTTCTTCCTGAGGAACTCAGTGTATAATGTACTCAACCGAATATGAACATGAGGTTTGGCAAGAATGATCACAGAATCATAATTCAGGATAATTGGCACAGTCCAAATAAACACCCAACAAGGATGGACAAGTTATTTGTGATTTACAATGTAGTCTCATAAACTCTATTGGTTCAGGCAACTTGAGTGAATCTCACAAACACTGATGAAAAGAAATTGTTGTGTCTGAGTCTGAAACGTCCACCCAAAGCTTCTCTGTTGAAAGCTTGGTCTCCAACGCAGCAGTATTAGAGATGAGGGCTTTGGAAGATGATTGAGTTATGAGCCATCCCCCCACTCTCTTTCTTTCCCTTCACCTTTTCAGGCTCCCATGAGATAAAACAATGGAGTCAAGTGATCATCAACTGAAACCCAGAAACCATGAACCAAAATAAACCTTTCCCCCTTTCACATTGCACTGTTTTCTCCGGTATTTTGTAACACAAATGGAATGATGACTAACAATGAAATCAAAAATGAAGATATATATGTTGTCTTATTCTATCTAGATAAACCTCAAAGCCAAAACAATGCTGTCAAAAGCCAGGCTCAGAGACTTAGAACACTCGAGCATTTTTTTCAGAATTCTTCAGAGGTAATAGGTAATACTACAATCTGGACCCAGGTCTGCTTAATTTCTGCTGATATTTCATTGACCCTTCATCTCCCTAGATGTCTCAGCATTTCGAGATGGACACTGATCTGAGGGCATGCTGGGGAATAAGCTCCTGTCACAGACACTACCTGAAGACTTATCTTACCCATGTGTAAGAAACAAGAGAAAAACAAATGCCTACCAGCTACACAGTTTCTCCTTTGAAGCCTATGAGTGAAAAATATAGAGAAAAGAATCAGTGAGGATCTTGATACAAAAGAGAAAAAATGCGTACAGGATAAAGGACATGCTGTAGTCATTTCATTAGGTTTGGTCTGTGGCTGGCTAGAGGGGAAAAAAGTACCAAGAAAATTTGCCTTTTCATAAACACTTTCCTTACTATAACCCCTACTTATGAATATGCTTAAGGTTAAAAAAACCGTGTGATAATTTTTCAAGTTTGCTTTAAAAAGCAGCAACTTTTATATGGTTGATGCAACTTCAAATTTTTTCCCCTACCTCTTTTCAATGGTTTAGTAAAGGTAGACCATCATGCTATTATTTTGGCAGAAACAAGTAAGAGAAACCCTCCTCAAACTGAAGAACAAAGGTAAATTTTCAGCATTAATTTTATAGTCATAAACTCAAGGAAGGAGGAATAAATCACATAGAAAGCTTCTAGGAACATCACATAGAAAAGCTGAATCAAAATTAATTTACAAATGTGAACACTTATGATTTCCAAATAGAGCTATAGCATGGGGACACAGGTGAGGGTGAGCAGGAGGGCAGAGGGTGTGTGGACATAACATTCTGTAATCAAAATACTCCTGTGGGTTCAGAGCATAGTTGGAAGGACCGACGGGAGAGGAAAGGATTTCCCTAGTTCCCACCCTTCCCAATTAATCACTGTCAGAAGGTCATCAGGCTGAAGGCCATAGCTAGGTTTTGAAGGACCGGATACTTTTATAACTATGAGCCACAGTTGCAGCTATGCAAACTAAGATAACAATATGGGTAATTAAATACCAGGATCCTGAGCATGAGCTGATTATGTCCTAGGGTCAGAAAGGAATTCCCCTCCCTCCTCCCTCTCCTGAACTTGGGATTCATTCCAAATACAGCATTCAGCAGATACCATGCCTTAGAATGGTTTTTGGCAGCAGGGAAGTCCCTGCTGCCTCTAAGATCCTCTAATACAAAACTCAAGACAAAGCTGTGCATGCTGAGGGTCAGAACTCCTCTCCCTGACAGCTGCCACCAGTTGCTGGAGACAAACACAAGCACTCATTTCCTAGGAAAGGACAGAATACAAAGGAAAAAGAAGAAAATTCATCCAGGCCACACTTACTCTGCAAGTGAGAATGAGCCCTGGAAGCCAAAGGAACTTGCTGGGTGTACAGTCCTCAGTCTGGGCTTTAAAACCTCAGGAATGTGACTTCAAGAGGGAAATAGTCTCAGCCTCTCTTGCAACAGTTTCTCCTGCACTACCCACTGTGTTCTGGGCTCCTAACAAACTGAGATCTTTCTTATTTCCAAATACGCTCTTGCATTTTTCCCTTGTTAGATACACTAATTTATGTATTCATTTTGCCTAGAGCAATTTTCTTTTTCCAGTTTCTGTTTTGACTGTCTTAAATGATCTGACATCAAAAAGCCAGTCTTGGTACATTTTGTAGTACTTCAATAGACAACTTAAGATAGACAATAGTAAAGAAGAGAAACTATTTCTTATAGTCCTGGAGGCTGGAACATGAAACATCAAGGTACCAGAATTTGTTCTGCTGAAAGCTTTCTTGTTTTATCTTCACAGAGCAGAAGATGGAAAGTCAAGCTAGATGCTGCATAAAACTTCTTTTATAAGGGTCTTAATTCCATTAGCTGAGAAGGTGTTCTCATGCCTTAGTCACCTATTAAAAGTCCTCCCTCTTCATTCTATAACTCTAGTGACACCTAAATTTTGGAAGGGCTTAACTTTCAACATAAATTTTAGGATGTCCCAAAACACTCACACACAGCAAAGCCTGGGGCAAAGACTTCCAGATGGTCAACAATCCTATGTCATCTTCTCGGACACGGAACTGGACTACATTTTCCAGCCTCTCCGGAAGTTAGCTGTGGTCACGTGACTGAGTCCTGGCCAATGGAACCCCTTTTTTACGTTGTTTTATAAAGCTTCCTGTAGTCCATGCTGGTTCTTTTTTTACTGCCGTGATGTGGACAGAATCTTAGAAGACAAGTGCTGAGGATGACTGACATACAAGACAGATCTGGATATCTGAATCATCATTTGGAGCAGAGTTAAAAACGAGCCACAAAAACCTGTTTTTAATATTGGTGCTTGAAAAATAAACTTTCTTTGTGTTTGAGACTTATGGATCTTAGGGGTAGTTTTGGAATGGCAATCACCTTACTCTAATACAAACAGGATCCTTCCCTTGTTACTGCTCTAAATTGAACATGACCTTTCCTGCCCCTAAGATTCTTATCTCTTAGAGTGTGACTTCATGTTCACTCTGTTGAACACCTCCTCCTCTCTCACACATAGTCACTGTCATGACCACCAATGTGCTAGAAGTTCTTTGGGTCTTGTATATCTAAATGGCTCTTTCAAAATCTTAGATCATATAATACTTTGTCAATATTCAATAAATATTGAATGATTTAATTTGACTATTGTTTAAGAAGTGTTGCCACATATCATCCTAACTAACTGTATTTATTTTTTGATCTTTTCTCCGTGTAGCTTCCTTAACAATAAGTCATTTCTACATATCTCATTTAAATTGATCATTTCGAGAAAACATGATCTCTGTAGGAATTAATTAGGGAGGCTATTAGGTTGAGTCAAAGGCATGTTT